CCACCATCACCACCACAAGTCAGCAAATAGATTCAACTCAAGGTGACCTCATCTGTGTCACAGGACAACTGTGCTCCATAGGGTTTCCAATAGCTTGTGTTTCAGAAGACCACCAAGCCTTCCTTCCAAGAAGCCATCAACTCTTCAGTTAGCAATGAGTGCTTAACCATTTATAACACCCAAACACACCTAGGAAATAGGTATTTTATCCCCATCTTCCAGAGAAGAAACCGGAACCAAAGCAAGTAGAAGGTGTTGGGTTGTCATGTTCCATCAAGTTGGTTCTGACTCATAGCAACCTTGAATAGGGATTCCAAGGAGTAGCGGGTAAATTTGAACCGCCAACCTTGTGATTTAAAACGACCGTAAGATCTAGTGCTTTATCCCACAGGGCCACAGGAGGACTCCAAGTAGAAGGTGGAGCTCTGGAATTTGAATTTTTCATTAGAAATTCTCACCTGGGTCTGCCGGCCTCCCATATATGTCTACTTATGTGTCTACCACACTCCTCCGCATTTCTGCAGAGACAATGAGGAACACTGTGGACTGTTCTGGAAAACAGTTTATCATCATAAGCTCAGATTTGCTATGTCTTCACATTCCACAGAAGCCTAGACTCTACAACACCCCTAAGAAGAAAACGAGTGTCCAGATCTACATCTTGTTGTTAGGAGCCATCCAGGCCGTTCTGACTCACAGCGACAATAAGGTCTTCCTCTTTTTCACGGACGGTCAACTTTACCAAGTGTGATGTCCTTTACCCAGGACTGGTACTTCCTGTTACTTTGTCCAAAGTTTGTAAGATGAGACAAAATCCTGCCATCCTTTCTTCCCAGGACCACTATGGCTGCACTTCTTCCAAGACAGACTTCTTTGTTCTTTTGGCAGCCCATGGTACTTTCAATATTCTTCACCAACACCATAATTCAAATGCACCGATCCTTCTCCAGTTTTCCTTTCTAGATCTACTTGTTGATGTTGAAGAGACACCGAGTAGGTTCCAACCCTATGTAGGGTTTCTGAGGAGCGAATGGTAGGTTTGCAGTTAGCATATGCCAGGATTCCCACATCTATTTAAAACTATAAAATAAAAACAAAATTAGAAAACAGGTCTCCACGTTTAAAGAGTTTATAGCCATTGGGTCTATAAGATACGGGGACATCTCACAGGGTTGCAGTCAGGTGTCATGCTGTGCTGGCTTGTGTATCTCCATGATGCTGGAAGCTGTACCACCTGTATTTTAAGTATCAGCAGTGTCACCTGTGGTGGTCAGGTTTCCGCGCAGCATCCAGACTACAACAGACTAGGAAAGAGGAGAGGCAGACCACTTCTGAAAGGTTAGCCACTGAAAGCCTTATGATAGCAGTGGAACATTTACTGATACAGTGCCAGAAGGTAAGACCCTCAGTTTGGAAGGCACTCAAAACACGACCGGGAAAAGCTGCAGATTCAAAGGATAGTTCACCATAATGACATGAGTTAACAAAGCCAAGCTTTTAGGATCTTCATATGCTGATGGGGCACAGCTCAAAATGAGCAGTAGCTGCAAACATCCACTAATAATCAGAACCTGGACTATACAAAGTATGGACCTAGGTAAACTGGAAGTCACCAAAAAATAACACTTAACAGCAACAACAACTATTTTTTTTTTAAATCAACCAAATGTACTATTATTCATCAATAAAATTCTAAGTTCTTAAAACTACTTAACAAACAAAAGCCCACTGCCACTGTGTTGATTCTGCCTACAGAATGGTCCTACAGAACAGAATAGAAATGCTTCTTAGGATTCCCAAGACTAAATGTTTATAGGAGCAGACAGCCTCAGCTTTCTCAGAGTGGCTGCTGGGTTTGAACCACTGCTGACCAATGCTTAGCCCCCTGTGTCACGAGAGCTCCTTAAAACCGCTTGAAATACAAAGTATGTTTAAAGGATTAAAATACAAAACAATAGTTAATACTACCACTGCAATTATGTAAACCTCTGCAAATAGCCACTCACCATATCGCAAGAAGGAAGGAGTCCTGGAGGCACAGTGGCTAAGTGTCTGACTGATGACCAAAATGTTGTCTGTTTAAACCACATGACAAGACAAGATGTGGCTGTCAGGAAACTCATCAGGAAGTTCTATCTTGTCCTATAAGTTGCTATGAGTTGAAATCAGTAAGACAACATGGATATATTGCAAGACAGGAAATGAAAATAACTGTTAACATGGTAAGATTACAGATCATTTGTTTTCTTTCTTAAAGTCCCCTCAATGCTGCTTCGAGTCCTAGTATGGCACTTCAGGATAAGCACTGGAATGCAAACCGCAAAGTTGGCAGTTCAAACCCATCCAATCGCTCCTTGGAAACCCTATACTGGGTCACTATGAGTTGGAACAGCCTTGATGGCACTTAACAGCAATAATGTCGCTTCTATACAACTTCTAAGGAGCTCTGGTAGCGCAGTGGTTACAAATTGGGCTGCTAACCTCAACAGTTTGAACTACCAGCTGTTCCGCGGGAGAAAGATGAGGCTTTCTGCTCCCGTAAAGATTTGTAGCCTTGGAAACCCTATGAAGCGTCATTATGAGTCAGAACTGACTCCACAGTACTCAACAATAACAACATACAACGTCTACACTTAAGAGAAAAATATATGTATCCTTTTTAACGATTTCATAAGATAATAGATGGTGCTATTATACTAACTGAGAACATGTAGGAAATCTGAGTCTACTGTGCAGTAAGTAACAAAGACATTTCTCCACAGGAAATATGAGTTTGTGTCCCAGCTTTGAACTGGTTCATTCTGGTTCAACCCCCTGCTGAGAATTTGTTTTTCCATTCCAGATATATACTGAATCAGGTTCTGCATTTCAACAAGATCCTTCAGGCGGTTCATATATGTACAGTACAATCACCTGAAGATCTGTAAGAATCATTTGTGGATCATGTTAGCTATAGAATCCAATTCAATATATTTGGGATGGAAATGTAAATTCTAAGCTGAGGGTCAAAACTGAATGAATTAGCTCAAAGCCCTGATTCATGCTCTTCTCCGAAAGTATCTCACTTGTTGTTGTTGTTGTTGTTGTTAAGTGCTGTCAAGTCGGTTCCAACTCATAAAGACCCAGGGTTACCGAGGAGTGGCTACAGCGCATTAATCCACAGCACCACACCAGGGCTCCAAAGTCCCTCACTACAAGCTACTAAAAACAACATGCCAATAGTCAAGTAGGCTCCTAGACTAACATGCTTCAAGATGACTCAATAAGATAGCAAATTATTAACTTCAAGCGTAAAGGGAATTTTAAAAAGAAAAGAATTTGAATCTCTTTTATTTGAATTATCTAACCATCATCTAACTACCTAGCAATGTTTCTCAAAGTGTGGTCCCTGGACCACCTACATGAGACTCACACAAGCTTCTTTTCCAAATGCCGACTCCTACCACAACTCCCCAGACTGCAAAACTACAGAATCAACAAATATGAGACGGGGTTTGCCTTTTTAAACAAACTCTCTATATGGTTTTTATGCCACACAAATTTTAAGAAACATTTCTCGACAAACTAATTTACCAGGTAAGATAAACATCATTTGAAATTTTTGGTGAAACATTCAAAACTGTAAATCTGGATTGATATAAATCAACCACTTCCTTACAATCACCAGCTCAAACAAGCCAAGTTGTGGGTGTAAGAGGCAGATAGATATTCTATGCATTCGAGGTCTCTGCTGCCTTACCTGTGAACCTTTCCAGAAAGCAATTTGCAACACTTATCAAGAGCCTTAAAATAGCCATACACTTTGCCCAAAATGTTTCATTACCAAGAATTTTTGTAATGAGAATAATGTATAAAGGTTATAGGCAAAATGTTGGGGGCAGCATCATTAATAGTCATACCTGCCATTTCTTGAGAACCTGCTGTATACTTGGCTTTAGCGGGTGCTTTACATACAGTATTTCTAACTCCTGCAACCCTGAAGATAAGTGCTTTTGCCCCCATTTTAGAGATGAGGAGACTGAGGCTCAAAGAAGCTATTAAGTTGTACCATGTCACACAGTTAATAAATGATAGAGCCAGGGTCAGAATTCAGGGCAGTTTGCATTCAAAGATCAGACTTTTTCCAATATCTGGTCACCTAAAAATGCATTAAATATTGGAATACTTTAACAAAGATATAGAAGAAAAATATTACATCACTATTTCAAGTCATGTTCTTCAAGAATTTTTAATGAAATGGAAAAATTACTCACAATACAAAATTTAGCTTAAAAGACAGGCGATGTAGTCAGGTTTTGAACATACTCATGGGTCACTAAAAGTCAAGGCTATGTTCTGTGAAACAGGACATTACATGATGTGGATGTTGTACAAACACCATATTAAACCAGGCTGTCTCTTGTTTACAAATGACTTCCATTCCTAAATCTACCTTTAAGTTGAGTTGTACATAAGTTGAAACAGTTCATAGCTAATGTCAATCAAATGTTTATCTGAGTATACAGTGTTCCTATCTATGCATAAAAAACACTTTTAAAAAACACTTTCAGATACACTAAAACATCTTTAACATAATAACACAGTGATAATAACAATGTTCAGCTATGAGTCACAAAGTAGTGACTATCTGTTACTACAAACCACTGTATGTATGTACATCAAATTTTTATTATATTTTACAGGAGTTGACACCACAATGTATATGCAATCAGGCACTGCCCAAAGGAATATTACGTGGCTTATAACATTATAAGTCATTTTAAAGCAGGAGTCCTAGCTTCTTGTTTTTTTCCTACATCCACACAGTTAATAGTGCACCTTACATGTGATAGGGACTCAAAAATACATGTTTTTAAAAGATTTACAAAAATGTTATCAGTGATTATCACAAGATTCTGGACCTATGGATGGCTTTTTTTTTTTTTTCTTTTTAATCAGGAAAAGCTACAATGGCTGGGTTGGATTGCAGGATTAGTTGGGGGGCTTCTGTATGAGTGAGAATGGCGATGGCCGCAGCTAGTCGGGGGACCGGAGTAAAACTGGCCCTGCGTGAAATTCGGATCCACTTATGCCAGCGCTCTGCCGGCAGCCAGGGCGTCAGGGACTTCATCGAGAAAAGATATGTGGAGCTGAAGAAAACGAACCCCGACCTACCCATCCTAATTCGCAAGTGCTCTGATGTACAACCCAAGCTCTGGGCCTGCTATGCATTTGGCCAAAAGAAGAATGTCTCTTTGAACAACTTCAGTGCTGATCAGGTAACCAGAGCCGTGGAGAATGTGATACGTGGCAAAGCCTGAACTCAACTGAGGATTAAAAGTAGCAGCCCCAACCTGGGCTCTGCTGGACTGAGTACAATATGGAAGAACGTTTGTTTTTTGTTGTTTTTTTCTCCCTATAAATCTTGTGTTGTAAAAAAAAAAAAAAAAAAAGCTGCAACAGCTGATTTTCAGATCTTATCTTTAACCACCTTTCCTGTATAATAAAGTAGTCAGCAGTTCAAACCCACAAGCCACTCCTCGGAATGCTTATACAAGGTCGCTATGAGTCAAAACCAACTCGACAGCACCTAACAACAATATAAGAGAACTGGTTATGTAGCAAATCAACTCAATGTGTAAAGTAGTATGAGGTTTATTTTATACACTATAACAGATAAGTTACTTTATAGCTAGAAAGCAAGCATTCTTTTTTATATGCCAGCCTCATAAATGACAAAATGTTTAAATTCACAGTGACAATGTTCTACATCCCACTCTGGTGAGTAACTGCTGGGATCCTAAAAGCTCATGAGCAGCAATTAAAGGCGCAACTATTGGTCTTTGTCTGGAAGCAGAGTGATGAAAACTGAAGACACTTGGAAAGAATTAGTCCAATGGACTGATGGACCCATGAACATCAGTTCCTGCAACACGAGACCAGAAAAACTAGACTGTGCCCAGCTACCACTGCTCTGAAAGGGATCAAAACAGAAGGTCCTGGCTAAAAGGGCAGAAAATGTCAAACAGCATTCAATAAATCATATAAAAGATCCGACTTAATGGTCAGGTGGGAGTGCAGTGGCTCCTGACAATAAACACTAAACTGCAAACCACTAGATTGGTGGTTCAAGCCCACCAACCAAATCCTCAGGAGAAAACAGGAGGCTTTGTGCTTCAGCGAAGGTTCTAAAGCCTTATAAACCGTCTACAAGGTCACTGAGTCAGAGCCAACTCCACGGTACGTACCAACAACAAATCAGTGAGATAGAGACTGGTGGAGCTCAGAGACCATGGTCCTTGGTCCCCCTTCAGGTCTGGAACTGAACTCAATCTCATGGCACAATTTTCAGCCAAGCAATAGATAGGTATACAGGGGAGACAACACCACTAGTGAGGGATGCACACCAGAGAACGGTCAAGCATTTGGGATTACAAGGGCAGCATTTACCCAAGGACAAAATTCAGAATTAAAGGGAGTGCAGTCACTGAGATGAAACAAAGTATATGGTTTGTTTAATGTAAAACTAACCTGTTCTTGTAAACCTTCACTCAATTCAAAAGAAAAAGAAAAAAAAAAAAAAAATCAGTTGCCGTTGCCACCAGAAAATTCTGACTCACGGTGACCCCATGTGTTTCAGATGAGAACTGCACTCAAAAAGGTTTACAATAGTCTTTTCCAATGGTTTTCTACTGATACATTTCTTTAGAAAGTAAATTGACGGGTCTTTCTTCTGAGACATCTCTGGGTAGATTCTAAGAGTCACACTTTCAGTTACTGGCCAAGAACCTAACCATTTAACACTCTTTCAGTTATTAGCCAAGCACTTAACACCACTCACAAACTATTAGTGGCTTTATACGCAGGAAAGGGATTTACAAATGTATAGCGTAGTGGTTACGAATCGGGCTGCAAACCTTAAGGTCAGCAGTTCGAAACTACCAGCTGCTCCGCGGGAGAAAGATGAGGCTTTCTACTCCCGTAAAGATTTACACCCTCAGAAACCCTATACAGGGTCGCTATGGGTCGGAACCGACTCGATGGCACTTAACAACAACAACAACAACCATCCACAGAATGTTTCTGGTCATAGTTTTGTGCATCCTGGATTGTTGTTGATTAGTGCCGTCGAGTTAATTCAACTCACAGCAATCCTATATAGTGTTTCCAAAGAACGGCTGGAGGATGTGAACCACTGACCTTGCAATTCAAATCAACCTTGCAGTCCAGGGCTTATCCTAGGGATAAGCATAAATGCTAGTACACAAGGATTAGAAGTCAAACGTGGTGGCTTTTGCAGCATAAAAACGAAGATCTATTGCTAAGATCATCATAACATACTGCAAAGCTACTGCTGCTGCTAGAATTGGGCCATGGAGTTGGTTTTGACTCAGAGCGACCCTGTTTTTTGAGGGTTTTTGAGACAATAAATCTTTACAGAAGCCAAAAGCTTCATCTTTTTCCTGCAGAACGGACGGTGGATTCAAACTACTGACCTTGTGATTAGCAACTCAATACGTAACCCACTACACTACCAGGGCCCCACACACTACAATAGCCTTTATAAATCAGCATTAAAACTGTGTCTCGCCTTGGTAGTTTATCAAATGTTTTATATAAATAAATCTATGTTGTTGTTGTTAAGTGCTGTCGAGTCGGTTGCGACCCATAGTGACCCTGTATAGGGTTTCCGAGGAGCAGATGGTGAGCTTGAACCACCAACCTTGCAGTTCAAACATCTTGGCAGGCTGGTACATTATTAACCCACAGCGCCACACCAAGACTCCACATAAATATATAGAATCACTATTATCCAATCTATTGTTTTAAGAACAAGATTTTTAAATAACAATGTATTAAGGAGAAGCCAACTGGTACATATTATTAGCTCATCATTCTGGACAATTTCAAACAGCAGACTATGCCACAAACCTTCCATTAAACTCCTTCCAAAATGACTTCACCTTTGGAAAAAACTCTGGCTTTGATGGTCAGATTATAATAAAGTTGACCAATTTACTAAAAGTCAGGAAGACACAAGCACGATATTATGGACTATGTTCCCACAAATTACGTGCTTGAATCCTTACCCCCATGCCTGTGGATGCAATCCTATTGGAAATAGGGCTTCCTCTGTGATATTAATTAGGAACCATTAACCTGAGTAGGGTGGGTTCTAAATCTGATCACTTCTGAGTTAAAAAAAGGAGCAGAATGAACAGAGAGCACATCCAAGGGAGAGAAAAACAGACAATGGGGTTAGATTCATCTACAAAGAGTGCCCAGTGAAGCTGAAATAAACAATGAAGACTCTCTCTCCCTAGCACTATACTTGGAATTCAGATGTTTAGCCACCTAAACTGTGAGAAACTAAGTCTAATCATTAAAAACACCCACTTATGGTGTATATGTCAATGTTAAGAAATGTGAACTACATTGAAACTGGTGATTCTGAAAGAAATCAGGGATGGATGATAGGGAAGAAGAGGAGGAAGAAGAAAATAGATTAATGAACATACAATGGGCATTTGTGTGTGTCGTGTAATTTTCAACAAAAAAAATTCTTTAAGGCAATGTGGAAAAAACAGTTCAGAAAAGGGTAGTTACTACCACTTAGTGATCTCTAGTTCTGTTTGTAAAGGAGTAACAAGGTGAGAACAGCTCTGCATGAACAAAGGTGAGACCCTGTTTGCATTTAGTTTTATTACTGGAATATGCCAAGAAAGAAATTTCACATCTGTAAAACACTACCAAATTATCTAACATTCTAAGGATCAACAATGCAGGCCAAAGTCTCAGGTATGAATGGTTTTGCCTTAGTCATCCCTAAGAATGTGGGGTCACAATGTCCCTCTGCTTTGCCCACTGTAGAGGTATCATGAATGGCATCACCCAGCATCCATTCTGAGCCGTTCTTCCTTGCCATATACTTTCAGAGAAGGTAGGAAAGAAAATACAATTCCAGAGCTTGGTGTAGTAAAGATTGGACAAAGAAATATATATGGTAGTCTTGGGAAAGAGATCAAATGCCAAAATCCTGAACAAAACTGCTTTTGTTCTCCCTTTTCCCAGCATAGATACACATGCACCTCAAGGCAGAGCAACAGTGATATTGTAACTACAAGACCTAAAGTCACAGACTGAAGATAGAGACAAAGAAGAGGAAAAACGAAGATGCTTGGCTCTTTGATGCCCCTGAAGCAACTCTGGGGGCCTGAACACTTAGTCCCAGGCTTCTCTTCATTGCAAAGATGAACCCCTGGCTTGATGAAACCATTGTGTGTTGGGTTTTCTAAGGGTACATGGAAATATTATTTCTGCCTGCTAAAGTCATCAATATAACAAACCTTTCCAGCTATGTCCTACTTGTAACTTATCAAAAATCAACTTACCCAAAACCCCGCAAGTCTGCACAGAGAAGCGATTTACTTAGAGACTTCCTCTGTGCCCTGGATATAGGGTTTTAACACCCACTTCATTTCATCCTCAGAATAGCTCTCTGAAAGGTGAAGTCAGACCTGGGTTCTTTACTACTACATTATGCAACCTCTGATGTATTCTTTTTTTAGTTAGTTTAATAAAGCAATTTTAATAATCAATGCTGCTCTCAGACTGTCCTACAACTGCCCTAACAAACTTTCTGATTTAAGGAAGACTTCCACTAAATAGCAAATGCCAACGGCCCAAAAAAGAGTTCACATTGCAGTCTGATATTAATCAAACAACAATAAACTCTGGCAAACACTTGCTTTCTAGTGTTCTGAAACCTTTAATCACCATGTAGCACTGTGCTGAAGCAGATGCACTAACGTTTCCTATGCAGCAGGTGCCTGACACTGGTCTAAGCATCATCTCATTCAGTGCTCACAATCACCTTTACACCTAAACAGAACAGTGTCCACAGACAGAGAATACCCTTTTAAAAGGCTTCTTACTCGACACCAATGAATGCTTCCACGTCTGAACAACTAGAAGGCAGATTAATGGATTTTGTTTTCGGTGTTCAGCAAAAATAGCAGACATGAAGGTAAAGATAATTACAACTAGGAAATAAAATAGAGGGAAATGAAATCACAACCTGAGCAAAATCTATAGTACTACACTATTGTCTAAAGGACTCTGGTAGCATAATGGTTATTAATTGGGCTACTCACCTCAAGGTTAGCAGTTCAAAACTACCAGCTGTTCCACGGGAGAAAGATGAGGCTTTCTGCTCCTGTAAAGATTTAGAGCCTCGGAAACCCTGTGCAGGGTCGCTATCAGTCGGAACCGACTCCACAGTACACAGCCACCACCACCACTGTCTAAAAGACCTTCAGGC